ATTTTTCCATCTTAAAAAATATATCTAAATTACGGCCTATGCTCTCCGCTGCGATCTCAAAACTCTGGCCATTTGATAATACCCAGAATGTCAAAATCAACTGCGGGCGGCAGATCCTTTTCCTATTTAGCACCCAAACTCTGGAACAATAAACTCTGTCAGTTTAAATCTAGATTAAAGACCCATCTCTTTAACCTGGCTTACACATATACACTGTTGCATTTCTAATATTCAAATCCGTTAAAGGATTGTTAGGCTGCATTAATTAGGACACTTCCCATAACACCCGATGTACTTGCTACATTGTAAGAAGAATGGCATCTACGCTAATATTAGTCTGTTTCTCTCTTATTCCGAGGTCTTAAAAAATAAAATAAATTTTTATTAATTATATTAAATTAAGAATAATCCAGTCTGGAAAGTTTTAAGTGTTGGTGGCAAACATATGTTGCGCACTGTGCGGATCTGCTGAAATTAAAATCTGCAAAAGTAACGAGCAGTAAGCAAGAGCGTCTGAACAGTAGTTAATTCCTACAATTTAAAACAATATCAATATCTTTGATTCTTATTTTTGATCCTGATCTTCACATCTGAGAGTTTCTACAGGTGCAACTGGATAGTGAAGGTATTTTGTTTCCCGCAAAACAACATTTACTTCACTAATATCATAACATGTGTGATATTTCTGTATCCCTGTGATGATCTCTCTCTAGAGTTACAGTGTTTCTAGTAAACTGGTTATTGCATCTTGTGTTTAGAAACTGAACACTATTCACTCTTAATAAGGGTAGATAAAGACTAACAGCTGAGTATTATTTATCATATTTTGTCAATCAAATTTTGTCAAATCAATTAACTATTTTCATTTAAACTGCACAAAAAGTGAATTAAAATCAGAACTGCTGATATAAAAGTACATTACCGCTGAAATCAATAAGATCAAAGACAGACAATACATTCCTTATAGAAGACAGATTTGTTTCTTTTCTCCATGGATCTGTAATTCTGTATGGGGAGTAAAATTATGATTGTAAATTGATTCAATAAATGGAAACCTGTTTGTGAATCTGAGAGCTTAAAAGATGTTTAGTCACATTTCTGTTTTGTGTGAACAGGACTTTTATTTTGGTGTGGTGACATGATGTCATAAGTCTGCGCCGTGCTCCTGCATCTGATTCTGCTGAAGAAAGGTTTGTGTTTGAATCTTTTAAAGAGTTTAAATCAGTACAACCCATTCAGATAGGTTTATATAGACCGTTGGAATGAATCAATAATCTTTAATGTAATGTTATGATCTATCTAATAACAGTAATGAAGATAGTGTTTTATAGTAAAGCACCTCCACACATGAGCAGCAAAAGAGATGCATCTCAGTTCACTCCCTGTATAGTGAAGCAGTTCATCATAACACACTGCTTGCTCACTGGTACGTCACGACAGAGTTACAGAACTTCTTAAAAACAGCTCAGACTTAAATCAAATGCTTTATCTGTAGTACATCAATGTCCAAACACTGTCCGCAGCTGAAGTTGGCTGATAGCAAATGAATAATCCAACCTCTTGTAATGAAAACACGCCACAGCTCCAGACTCTTCGACTCTTCCTAACCAGGAACAGTCAAGAATAGTTCAGACTACGGTCTCACGTCCAAAAGAACTTTAAATCATCTGGACCGCTGGACCGTTATGTAGTAGCCTCACCTAAAATGCATAAAAATACACCGTCTTAAACTCTTAGCATTACTCCAAACATAGGCTGACTACTGAACTAGTGTGCTGACTACTGAACTAGTGTGCTGACTACTGAACTCGGGAGCTGATTGAGACACCCCAGAGATTTAGATTGGGTTTATTATCTTTCTGTTAATTATTCTGATCTTAAACACAGAAAAACTCCTTCTGAAGCGACTGAGAGACGCACTATTATAAAGATGGAGTTTATTAAAGAGGAGAGAGAAGACATGAAGATTGAAGAAGCTTTCAGAGTCAAACATGAAGATACTGAGGAACAAACAGGTCGGTCAAGTCAAGTCGCCTTTATTTATATAGCATTTTATACAATAATGTTTGTCAAAGCAGCTTTACAGTGTCAAACAGAACAATATTTTGTCCATAAAGCAAGAAGACAATAACAAAGAGTAATTTTTCAGCTAAAAGGTTGGTTTCATTCTTTTCTTCTAAAGTCTTTCTTCAGTCATTCTGCATCATGAATCTCTTTATTTACTACACAACATGTGACAAAATGAATGACGTCACAAATTAAATGATGAAAAACAATAAATACATTTTATTATTAATATATTTTTATTATTATATAAATACAAACAATTACTCTGTGTAACGTTAAACCCAATATCTACTTCTATCTTAAAAACAATTAAAATAATTAATTTCTATCACTTAGTTATCAATAACAAAGAGTCATTTTTCAGCTAAAAGGTTGGTTTCATTCTTTTCTTCTAAAGTCTTTCTTCAGTCATTCTGCATCATGAATCTCTTTATTTACTACACAACATGTGACAAAATGAATGACGTCACAAATTAAATGATGAAAAACAATAAATACATTGCCAAAACAAAACAATTACTCTGTGTAATGTTAAACCCAATGTCTACTTCTATCTTAAAAACAATTAAAATAATTAATTTCTATCACTTAGTTATGTAAAAGTATCTAACAGTTGTTTATGTAGGAAAATGAAACCATGAAATGTATCAACTTTACGTTTGCGGTCTATAATTTTAATTAATCCTAAAATTACCTAAATGAACGGCTCTGTGTAGTAAATGCTGCTCCATGTGAAAGATGTAATTTTCTGAACCAGTGCTGCCTTAATGTTGTTGGATTTGAGTGCTGCTTTTGATAGCCTAGCCCTAGATCATGGCAACTTAATATTGAACATCTCAGAGATTATGTGGCTGTCAAGGCTGTAGCCCTTAAATGCTTCCCCTCAAATTTGCAGGACAGGACATGTTCAATTAGGATTGGGACCTGTGGCTCATCATCTATTAATATTTCTTGGGGGGTTCCACAAGGATCGATTCTTGGTCCAACTCTTTTCATTGTATATGTTGCCCCTGGAGTTAATTCTTAAGAATTATAGAGTTAGCTATAATTTTGATGACCTACAATACAGCCCTGGTTGAACAGTAATACCCGTGCTCTCAGGCAAGAGTGCAGGAGGGTTGAACGTAAATGGCTTAAAGATAAAATACAGGTTTTTTAAATGAGATTTTGAAGAGTTGTTTGAGTGAATACCAAAGAGCTGTTAAATTATCTAGATCTAATGATTTTTCTGATATTATCTCGAAGAACTGCCATAATTCTAGAGTGCTTTGTTCTGCTGTAAACACTGTACTACATCCTGTTGTTATGCCATTACTCTCGCCTTCTGTTGACACATGTGAAAAGGTTTTAAAATGTTTCATTGATAAGACTGCTGGAATTAGATCCCAGATTTCATCTGTTACTAATGATTTTATTGTACCCTCTGTTCTTCCAAATCAATTGACTTGTTTTACGCCTGTCTCTCTTCCACAGCTCAAAGAAATAATTGCCTACTAGGTCTCCCTGTGATGTGATTCCTTCTCTTTTATTTAAAGAGGTGGTTAATTCTATTGGTACATGCATTTTAACTATTATGAATAGTAGCTTGACATTTGGTGGTGTTCCACCTAGTTTTAAACATGCAGTTATCCAGCCCCTTCTTTAAAAAGCTGGTTTAGACTCTGGTATGAATAATTTTCGTCCCATTTCAAAATTGCCTTTTATTTCAAAGATACTGGAGAAGATTGTGTATGCACAGCTTCATGATTTTTTGGTGAAGAACAACATTTCGGATAGATTTCAGTCAGGGTTTAGAGCCAGCCATAGTACAGAGTCAGCTCGTTTGAGGGTTACTAATGATATTCTACGTGGTGCTGATTCTGGAAGTTGTGTTGTTCTGTTAATTTTAGATCTTACAGCAGCATTTGACACAGTTGATGCTAAGATTCTCATTGATCGCCTTAGAGACCATGTTGGCATTCAGGGTTTAGCCTTAGAATGGTTTTCTTCATATTTAAAAGATAGGAGTTTTTCAGTCAGTCTAGGAAATTACTCTTCATCTGTTGCCCCTCTTATGTGTGGGGTTCCTCAGGGTTCAATCCTGGGACCAGGTTTGTTTTCCATTTATATGCTCCCTCTCGGATCAATTTTTGATAAACATGGCATTCATTATCATTTGTATGCTGATGACTCACAAATTTATTTACCATTGAAACACAAGGATCATTCTGTATGGTATGAATGTTTGGCTGAGGTTAAGTGTTGGTTGGCTTAGAATTTTCTCCAACTGAATGAGAATAAGTCTGAGTTTATTTTATTTGGTAAAAAGGGATGTGTGGATGATGTCACTGGCTGCCTGGGGATACTTCCTGGGAAAAAGCTTTCTAGCATTAAAACCTTGATGCTATTTTTGACTCTGAGCTGAAATTTGATCGTCAAATTATTTGCCGTTGTTAAAAAGTTTTTTCCATCATAGATCTACATCTAAGTTGAAGTCTATCCTTTCTTTTGAGGACTTGGAGAAAGTTGTGCATGCTTTTGTGTCATCGCATTTGGATTATTGTAATGCATTGTATCTGGGTGTGAGTCAGCCTCTCTCTATCTCGCCTGCAGTTTGTTCAGAATTCAGTGGCTAGGCTTTTATTGGGTACCAAGAAGAGAGGGCATATTACTCCTGTGCTTATCAAATTACACTGGCCCCTGTACGATACAGGATTCATTATAAAGTGCTATTATATGTTTTTAAAGCTTTGCATGGTTTAGCACCAGAGTATATTTCTGATTTAATCAGTTTGCATCAATCCAATAGGTCTTTGCGTTCTAATGATCAGTTACATCTGATGGTTCATTTAAAATGTAAAGGTGATCGGGCCTTTTCTGTTGCTGCTCCAAGGCTTTGGAATGACCTTCCTCTGTCTGTAAAATTTTCTCCTACACTTCCTGTATTTCAGAGTGCGCTTAAAACTCATTTGTTTTCATTAGCATTTGAAAATGTTTTGTAATTTGTTCTTTGTTGTTGTTATGGCATATGTTTATAATGTTTTCCCCCAAAATTAAAATATTGTCAAAAGAAGAGACAATAACAGATACAAATTCAGAAAACTCCTGAATAAAATACCCATGAATGTTTGGGGGTCTATAAATCAAAACACATAACACCGATTTAAAAGTATTCAACATAATTAACTGAGTTTCAAACGTACAATTAGACTCAGAAGGTAAAAGTCTGCATTTGAACCTGTCTTTAAAAATAACAGCAAGACCACCACCCCGGCCAACAGACCTGGGTGTACTAAAAAAAACTACAACCAGGAGGAGAAAGTTCAGAGAGAGGAGTCGTTTCACTGACGTTGAGCCAAGTCTCAGTTACAAATAAGAAGTCTAATTCATGAGAGAGAAAAAGATCATTCAAAATAAAAGACTTCTTTGCAAGGGACCTTGCATTAATCAACGCCATTGTCACTGGAATGGAGTCAGGAAAAGGTACAGTTGTGTGTAAAGTGGTATCGTTTACCGGACTTCCATAGTGCAGGAAATGAAGATTTTGGAGATTTACTCTCCAATCGCCTGACCACCGCCTCGCACAAACCATCCGCGAGGACCAGAGCACTGGCACAGATGAAGACGGAAAGACGGGAACGAGGTATGAGCATCTTAGGTTCGGCATCACATCAACGGCCTCCGCCACTTTAGACGCAGGTCAGATGAAAGGATATTTCCCAAACTTCTTTGATCTCACAAGGCTTCCAGCACGCTTCCCACATTACCTTCTGCGTTTCTTCAACAGGCACAGACACCCCGGCAGGTAACACATTTTCCTCAGTGCGGCTGGCACATAACGAGGATGCAGCTGGCAGACTTCTCCGGGGTCGCAACTCAAACATCCAAACACCACAGATTGAATATTCAGTAGAGTCAAGCGATCGTACACCAGGGGAGAACAAGCAGTACGAGTGATAAAACAAACAAGGAAAACTAAAACAAATAACATAGATAAACTGCGACGGCAAGCCGGCAAACATCCTGGTGCCATCTTGACTTTCATTCTTTCAACAAGGTTTGGGAGGAGCACAATCAGATAATCAACTAATTCAGCACAGGTGGAGCTCATCTAGTTGTTCAACTTAATTAGCATGATATGTGTGTATATATATATATATATACACACATATCATGCTAATTAAGTTGAACAACTAGATGAGATCCACCTGTGCTGAATTAGTTGATTATCTGATTGTGCTCCTCCCAAACCTTGTTGAAAGAATGAAAGTCAAGATGGCACCAGGATGTTTGCCGGCTTGCCGTCGCAGTTTATCTATGTTATTTGTTTTAGTTTTCCTTGTTTGTTTTATCACTCGTACTGCTTGTTCTCCCCTGGTGTACGATCGCTTGACTCTACTGAATATTCAATCTGTGGTGTTTGGATGTTTGAGTTGCGACCCCGGAGAAGTCTGCCAGCTGCATCCTCATTATGTGCCAGCTGCATTGAGGAAATGTGTTACCTGCCGGGCTGCCATTCGCTCTGAGGAAAATGTGTTACCTGCCGGGGTGTCTGTGCCTGTTGAAGAAACGCAGAAGGTAATGTGGGAAGCGTGCTGGAAGCCTTGTGAGATCAAAGAAGTTTGGGAAATATCCTTTCATCTGACCTGCGTCTAAAGTGGCGGAGGCCGTTGATGTGATGCCGAACCTAAGATGCTCATACCTCGTTCCCGTCTTTCCGTCTTCATCTGTGCCAGTGCTCTGGTCCTCGCGGATGGTTTGTGCGAGGCGGTGGTCAGGCGATTGGAGAGTAAATCTCCAAAATCTTCATTTCCTGCACTATGGAAGTCCGGTAAACGATACCACTTTACACACAACTGTACCTTTTCCTGACTCCATTCCAGTGACAATGGCGTTGATTAATGCAAGGTCCCTTGCAAAGAAGTCTTTTATTTTGAATGATCTTTTTCTCTCTCATGAATTAGACTTC